CTGAGCTCTACCTCCTGTCAAAGTAAGGGCAGCATTACATTCTCATAGGAATGCAAACCCTACTGTAAAGTGCATGTATGAGGGATCTAAGTTCTGCACTCCATGTAAGAATCTAATGCCTAATGATCTGAGGTAGAGTTGAGGTAGTGATGCTAGCACTGGGAACCTGCTGCAAATACACACTGTCATTAGTAGAGAAGTCTGACTGCACAGAGACCATAATAAATCAACTACTCGCAGACTCATATCAAAACCATTCCCCCTGTCCCAGTCCATGAAAAAAAAAACTGTCTTCCATGAAACCCATCTCTGGGAACTGCTAAGCCAAACCACCTATGATGGTGAATGATAAAACTATGCAGCATTGGCCTAGCACTCTGGGAGGCCGAAGTAGGAGGGCCCCTTGAGCTCAGGAGTGGGAGATTAGCCTGAGGAAGAGCAAGACCCTGTCTCTACCAAAAATAGAAAAATTAGCTGGGCATTGTAGTGGGCCACCTATAATTCCAGCTACTGGGGAGGCTCAGACAGGACAATTGCTTGAACCCAGGAGTTTGAGGTTGCTGACAGCTAGGTTAACACCAAAACAGTCTAGCCTGGGGTAAGAGAATGAGACTTTGTCTCAAAAACAAAAGAAAAAGCCAGAACTATTAAAAATTTTCAAAATCCCAAGCAAACAAAAAAGGAATCAATTTTTTAAGAACTTTAGGTTCTGAACTAAAGTTCTAAGCCAAGAAAGACTCCTATATTCTAGACAGTGGGGACCCAGGGTGAGGGATGGGAGAAAGAAGACCATCCCATAAAAGGAAAGCAGACAGTCCTGGCCCAGTGTGTAATGCAGGGCAGGCCAGGTGCACAAGAGAAAGCTGAACATGAAAGCTGCAAGGACGTGGGCTCCAACTGAAGTTCTAGCTAGCCTTTCACAAGTGGTGTCTTCAATAATCTACAACAGTGAAGAGACATCTCCTCATGATGTAGCAAACCCAAGGCCCATCTTAAGCTTTAAAAAATGTTTTAACTCAGTCTGTAGAGCTCAGAGACAGTTTCAATACTACAATGGAAGTTGCTCAGAAAACGGAAGTCACCTTGTTATGTAGGTATTCTACAGCTGAACAGAGGCAACTGAACAAAGGCTGCCAGAGTAATACATAAAAGGGATGATTACCCCAATCTGTGAGTCCTAAGACCCTTGCCAAGATTCCTAATTAATGAATTGGTCTGTGAAATGACATTCTGTAATATATACAAGGCTTATCTAAGTGCAAAAATTGTCATTTTTAATTGAATACCTCCTTTTTTGACAAGTCAAGATACTGTCCTCCCTCCATTAATATAATTTTTAGTCTTCTACATCAAAAAAACAATTTAAATGAGATGATGCTACTGAATTCATTTTTAGTGTTATCACAGGCTTCTAATACCAAGGACTGTTTCACTTATCATAAATTAGTTAATATCTCTCATCTTTACTTTCAACAGAAGTTAAATAATATGTTAAGTTTTTTCCTTTGGGGTTTTAAATAGATTACCCTACAAGATTCAACACTTGCTTGAGAGACACATGCTTTAGAGACCTAGGTAAATTAGTCCCCTAGTTATGGCTTCTAAGCCTGGATTCCTCGTATTAACAAAACTCAGTGCCCTCCAAGATTTAAAACCAAAAATCCTTCTCCATATGAAAGGTTACTTCTTTTCTGTTTGAAACCGAGTCTCACTATGTGGCCCTCAGTTAAGTGTAGTGGCGTCACAGCTGACAGCAACCTCAAACTCTTGGGCTTAAGCGATTCTCTTGCCTCAGCCTCCCAAGTAGCTGGGACTATAGGTGCCCGCCAAAACAACCTGGCTATTTTTTGGTTGTAGCTGTCATTGTTGTTTGGCAGGCCCAGGCTGGGTTCAAACCCTCCAGCTCCAGTGTATGTGGTTGGTGCCCTGGGCACTGAGCCATGAAAGGTTACTTCTAAGACTCTTTTGATGCAGTTCTCTTTCAAGAGAGTTAATTTAATTCCCTCTCACATAAGTATAACAACATATTTGCCCTAGGCTCTCTACACAGGACCAAAGAGAAACTTCTGAAAATTAATTCTTAATCATCTCCTCAGAGTTCTAGATTTTCACACATATTATCATGTGCCCACATGAGCAACAGGATCCAGATGCTACTGAATTAACTCATTGGCCTTATTCCTTGTCATTTTTGCCAACCATCTCTGAATCTCCAATAGCCCTAGCACTTTCCAGGGGCTCCAAAGTTATTTAGACATTTACTCTGTTGCATGCTAAACCAAAGAGTAACAGGAAATGTGCTTCCTGCCCTACACAGAGCTCTCAGTATAGGAGGACAACCAGGGATTAAGTGCTATAGAAAGAGGGTATACCACAGGCAGCACCTGAGGCTCAAGGAGTAGGGCACCAGCCCCATATACCAGGGGTGGCAGGTTCAAGCACAGCCCTGGCCAAAACTGCAAAAAAAAAAAAAAAAAAGTGTACCACCAGCCTACATCCTGTCAGTCAGTACAAGTAATACTGAGCAGGATACAGGCAGCACAAGTGGTACCTGTGTTGGCAGGTAACACAGATATATTTATTTAGGCTAAGGGCAGGCAAACCATTGGCCACTTTTTTGTAACTAACGTTTTACCACACTCTGCCTATTCATTTACATATCATTTTCAACAGTACATCAGTACATTTACTTTCTGGCCCTTTAAAAAAACAGTGTATTGACCACTAATCTAGCTCCTAACTAGGGACTGACTGGGGGCCCTGCCTTTGCTTCTACCCATCATGCCAACTTCTGCATGTGCCAATGTGGGGATGAAAGAGCATATGCAAAGTACATTATGTATAACAGAGAAGAACATGTAGACAGGTTCTTCCCTTGCCTGAATGCACCTGAACTCACCAACGCTCACCAAAGCCCTTTGTACTCCAGTCCTATCCAACAGCGAGATCTGCCAAAGATGGCCTCATATTTATAGCACAGCCTCTGTCCCTTCAAACTTTTCATCATCTCTTTCTCCATGAAAACCCAACTTAAAGCTCTACTCTTATCAAAGACTTACCATGAATCCTTGTCCCGTGTAACAGATGCTTCAGAAGGGTTGCAGCCAAACCCAACTTCAACCTGTTAGATTACCAACTGTGCTCTTCAATCTGAATTCATAGATCCAACAAACATTGGCCATGTACTGACAGGGTGCTACACAACAGCACCACATTTCTATATAATGTATAGTAATCCTAATGTTTTATTACTATTTGTCGAATAAATTAGATTAAGCAAAAGTTAGGTTAAGGTTATCATTTTGGGATGATAAAATGTCCTGGAATTAAGAGGCAGTGATGTTGGGCGGTGCCTGTGGCTCAGTGAGTAGGGTGCCAGCCCCATATACTGAGGCCAAACTGCAACAAAAAAAATAGCTGAGCGTTGTGGTGGGCGCCTGTAAGCCCAGCTAGTCAGGAGTCTGAGGCAAGAGAATGGCCTAAGCCCAGCATTTGGAGGTTGCTGTGTGACGCCACAGCACTCTGCCAAGGGCAATAAAGTGAGACTCTCTTAAAAAAAAAAAAAAAGAAGTAGTGATGGTACACAATTGTGAATATACTAAAGACACTGAATTACACACTACAATGGGATAGAGTTATGATAGGCGAATTATCTCAAAGTTTAAATTATTTTAAAGTCTGATTATCAACAAAAGGTACTAATATCTTCTGCTTTCTATCTCAAGGCATGTAATAAAATACCATATTCAACATTGGTAAATGAAAACAGGGAGGATACTAATAACTGGGCTACATTATAAAGTACCCCAAAACATACTGGAGTACACTACCATTTGTCACACTTATAGTTTTTGTGGGCTGGGTACATGTATAGCAGGGATGGCTTGTCTCTGTTCTGTAGTGTCCAGGCCTTGGTCAGAAGGGAGGAAAGCCACAATCTCACATGCAAGGTGGCTGTTAACTAGGGACATAGGGATGGCTTTTCAATGGCCTTGCTATGTGGTCTCTCTGTGTGGGCTAGGTGGGCTTCCTCATAGCATGGTAGCTGGCTTTCTCCCAAATTGAGTATCCCAAAAAGCCAGGCAAAAACCATGCCCCTGTTAAGACCTAGCTAGGAGTCACATAGCACCCCTCTACCAGATCACTGGTGAGGCAGATCACACACCCAGCATAAGTTCACAGAAAAGAGACAGAAAACCTTACCTCTTCATCATATAGTTCATGGAAGAATATGAAAAATGGGAGTTGGTGGCACCTGTGGCTCAAGGAGTAGGGCATCGGCCCCATATGCTGGAGGTGGCGGGTTCAAACCCAGCCCCAGCCAAAAACTGCAAATAAATAAATAAAATAAAATGTAATTTAAAAAAAAAAGAAAAATGGGAGTTATCACAAAGTCTCTTTAGGAAAATATAATCTGTCACCCTAAGTGAGTGCTATAACAGCATCTCAAAGTTCTTTGAAGACTGGAAAATTAAAAACCAGGGTTAAATGGAATCTGACTAAAAAAAAAAAATTAGTATTTCAACCCTTGTGAGGTGTAGCTCTTATTACTTATAGTAAGAAACCTGTGATTGATAAGTAGAGCCTAAATTACTATGCTGTCCTGCCTTAGTAAATATAGCGTCATGACCTTGATTTAATAAGGTAGTGATTCAGAATCACTGCCAAGTGATAACTGAGCACTGCAGCCTCTCTGTAAGACTACAGAATACCAGACCCAGGCAGAAATGTGGTGGTAAGTCAGAATTTATCTTGTCACTCCAGGCTGAAGGTTCAGATCTGTACCAGTCCCTCATCATAGCATGTGGCATAAGGAGAAAGGTCATGCCCTTTGTCCCTCCCACAGATATCTCCAGCACATTAAGTAGAGAAGTTCAACAAATAAAGAAGGAAGAGAAGGTAGCAATTTTTAAAATTCTAAATCAGAGAGTTCTAAGAGGCCTATTGTTAAGCCTCTTTCTGATCAAAAGAAAGCAAAAAACAAAGAACTGAGAGCAAACCTCTTTTGTCAGGAAAGCATCCTTAGAAGAATAGAGAGCCAGGAGCCAGGTTTCTGATCCTAGATCTGGTTCTGACCTGCTTTGGGACCTTAACCCAGTGGCATAACTTCTTTGGGCCTCATTTTCCTCATCTGTAAAATAAAGGGATTGAATTAAGACAAGGATTCTCACCTACAGATGAGCCACAGGTTGTGGCCACTGATGTGTGCCTGAGAGCTAGTCTACCCTCAAGTTTAAGCTCTATTATCTGAATGTTTATTAAACAGAGAATGAATTCTACATGAGTGAGAAGAGTTCTCCCAGAGCCCAGCCAAGCCCTCTCTCAGGAGCTACGTCCTTAGCAGCCAATGCCAACATCATCCCTGGGGTTGCTTCAATAGCTCCTCCCTGGCTCTAAACCTCAGACCTCAAATCCCCTGGAATAACAAACAGTAGTGTCAGTCCTGTGCAATCAAGATATCAATATAGTTTAAATTTAAATGCACAAGGGTAACTAGTTTTCAAAAAAAGTATACTACATGTATATTTCTAAGAAACAGCAAAAGATCCTCTGGTAACAAAGGCAATGAGCCCTCATTTACTATTTCACAAGTTCGATTTTTTTTTTTTTTTTGAGACAGAGCCTCAAGCTGTCGCCCTGGGTAGAGTGCTGTGGCATCACAGCTCACAGCAACCTCCAACTCCTAGGCTCAAGCAATTCTCCTGCCACTGCCTCCCATGTAGCTGGGATTACAGGTGCCTGCCACAACGCCCAGCTATTTTTTTGGTTGCAGCCGTTACTGTTTGGCGAGCCCGGGCTGTATTTGAACCCACCAGCTCAGGTGTATATGGCTGGCACCTTAGCCTCTTGAGCCACAGGCGCCAAGCCTTAAGTTTGATTTTTGAACATGGGTCTAACTTACCCCAAACCAACTGCCATTATATCCTGAAACAGGCAAGGATGTCCCCCCCCCTTCCCCACAGGAAGTCAGTCTTTAAGAGAGTCAGGGCTCTCTTAAAGAAAGCCCTGGGGTGTGTTACTGGAAAGAAGCTCTTTAGATGGATAGAAAGCTCTACCAGGACCACACCAGCAATTAAGCTTTTGCGGATGCCACATATTGCCAGCCTTTAGGAGGTGTGGATATGCCCACACCATTCCTCACAGCCCACAGACTGAGGCACCAGTACATTAAACATACACAGGTTAGGTCACCAGCCTAAAGTTGAAAACCATCTCTCAACATCTCATAATGTGTTGCCAAGAACCAAGAGACCAACGCAGCTGTCACCAGAGAAAGAACTGAGCTGAATGGACAACTCTGAAAGATGAAGAGAAAGGATGTGCTTCACATGGAAAGCAGAATTTATTTACACTAATCATGAATGCAGGCTCTCAGTTGGAAAATCTCACTTAAAACGCCAGAAGGTTCAGTACCCATTCATAAGCTTTTCAGAATGCAAGCAGTTGCCATGGTAACCCCGACATTATCTTTCTTGGTATTAGACATATAAATACCACCCATAATGCATTTAATACAGTGTGGGGCCACCAATTCATTGCAAAATAAATCTCGGTTCAGACTCTTGGCCTCCCTCTAACATAAATAAAGAGGACCAGCTGGAAGTAGTACCCACCTCACCCCATGGATCAGCAAAAGCTCCACTGAAAATGCTCCTCTGAAGACAAAATATAACTAAGGAAATCAGACTTCATCATCTACAATCATATGGGTGAGATGTTGTAAAACAGAACGTTCCACACGTTCCACTGTGATTAATGAACTACTGTTGCTTAAGTTAAAGAAACAAATACATTACATCCATTATCTATATCTCTGAAATTCAACTATGCTTAGCAAGTCAAAGAAAAAGCAGATTTCTTCAAGGAACATCTTCAACAATTCATTCAGAGGACATTTGTTAACACTAAATTAAGGTATCTCTTCACATGTCAAAACTGTCATTAACAAGGAATAAAGTTTTATTTCTTAGGTTGAGATGAGATCTATTCAATCATAATGCTTTATCTTGACCAGGGATGTTCATAAACATTTCAGAGACATATATGCATGATTTTTAAAGTCCCTTACCTTCTTATAATCCACCATCTAAACAGAGAGACAGAAACAAAATCATTGTGCACAAACTGCAATGGCATCTTCAATTCCACATTCCCAGAAAGCCCACTGCATCAGTAACTTAACAGAACTGCTGCAGGACATGCCTGTGCTAGCCACAGCGTTCACAAAATTGCTTACATTCTAATCACTTTTACCGCCAGGTCCACAGGAATATTACCTTCATTATCTCCTTCTTCAGATTGCAGACAACAGTCAGCAGTTGTGAAGGGGAGCAAAAGACTTCACCACGGGTTGTTTCCATATTAACAGGGACTCTGGTAACCGCTGCATTGCAGTCTTTCTGAAAGCTACCAAGCTCATAAGCAAAGCGCTGGAGAGAAAATCCCTGGCACAGGAAGCTGTCAAAGATTTTTAAGAATCTTAAAAAAAAAAAAAAAAACGTTGCAAACACCCAGAGGTATTTCTAGATTTCCAGCCTGCTTCCTAAAGGTTGCCTGGTTTGTGGCTTTTAGAGGATGGCTGTGACAACTGATTGTGCTAGGTAAGAATGCTGAGATGAGTGAAATGTGCACTGTGACACAACATCTTTAGAGCTCAAGTACTCCCCATGAGAATCTGTACATCTGCTGCTTAGCACCAGCTTCAAAGCCCCTGCTGAGAAGCTCCTAGGAATGAACCATGGTTTTCATTCCAAAAAATTCAAGTACAACATGCACTTCCAGTTCCTCTGTGGCAGCAATCACTGTGAAAACCCAGCTACCTTCACAGTATGGTAATAACTATTATATAGTCAGAGCACTTGAAATATTAAACCACTGACCATATAATCAAATTCAGAAAAAGAGACCTTTGAAATAGTAGCATGCTTACTAGGTAACCTTTCATTTTCACTCATTTACTCAATACATTTAGTGAACCACGTGCTATATGCAAAAGAAAATACAAGTTGAGCACCCCTAACCCAAACATCCAAAATCCAAAATGCTCCAAAATCTGAAACATTCTGAGCACCAACATGATACCACAATTGGAAAATTCCCCACCTGACCTCATATGATGAGTTGTGGTCAAAATACAGTCAAAACTTTGTTTCATGAACAAAATTATTAAAAATATTGCATAAAAATTACCTTCAGGCTTGTTTTGTAACATATACTACATTTACAAATATAAATTAATACTATGTTTAGACTTGGGTCCCCAAGATAGCTGATTAATAATGCAAATATTCCGGGCAGCTCCTGTGGCTCAAGGAGTAGGGCGCCAGCCCCATATGCCAGAGTTGGTGGGTTCAAACCCAGCCCTGGCCAAAAACTGCAACAACAAAAAATAAATAAATAAAAATAATGCAAATATTCCAAAATCCAATAAATCCAATATCCAAAAAAATCCAAAATCTGTAACATTTCTCGTCCCAAGTATTTCAAATCAGTAAGTCCAAGATATACCTCCCCAACATAGTGGTTACAGGTATTCTGGAGGAAGTAACAGAGAATAAGCCATCCCCAGCGTGAGGATGAGTATGGTGGAGAAGGGCCAACACAGCACAGGAAGTAAAACCAAAGCTCATCTGGGGATCCAGGACAAGGATCTGTGAGCAAGGAACATTTAGAAAGAGCTGAAGGACATCGACTCTCCTGGAGAAAGGGAAGGACAAGGGGACGATATCTTCCAGATGGCTGTACACATTCCCCAGCATGTATGAATAGGTCCTCAGCAAGAGTGAGGACCCATCCCAACCTTACAGCAGCCCTGAGACGGCACTGCTACCACCATGATGAACTGACAACCTAAGTATATAGACCTGAGGCATTCACTTGCCCAAAACAACTAGTGACCAAGTGAAGGTACCAGAATTCGAACCCAGAAGGGCAGCTCTGTACTCTACTACTGCCCTTTGCTGCCCTTCAGGAAATAGCAGGTCTTCTGGCAATTCTGGTCACTAACCCCTGACAGAGATTATTATCTAATGTAGCCTCTGTTTAGATGTGATTTCATCCACCCTCTGAATAGTGCCCAGCCTGACACTAGATGAGCAAATAAACTTAAAGAATTCTCACAGCTATGATTAATAAATAAACTTAAGGAATTCTAGTAATATGAAACAACCTGCAATATCCCTATAAACATGATATTGTCCTCTCTGATGAAAATGTTCCTTCTTTGCCTTCCCTCTGTCTACCTAACTCGAACCCCTTTGGCTCTGGAATCTTCCCCACCAAAAGTCTTCACTGACTCCTTTCCCACTTCTAGCAACAAGGCCCCTTCCTCTGGCTCCCATCATCAACAGCTACTGCACTGTACTGAAGAGACAGTTCTGCATCCAACCCTTGCCTTGGAGCCCTGCAGCGACAGTCAATTTTGTATCTGCAGTGCCGGCTTGGCACCTGTAGCTCAGCGGCTAGGGCACCAGCCACATATACCAGGGCTGGCTGGCTCCAACCCTTCCCAGGCCAGCTAAACAACAATGATAACTGCAACAAAAAAATAGCTGGGCATTGTGACAGGTGCCTACAGTCCCAGCTACTCGTGAGGCTGAGGCAAGAGAATCTCTTAAGCCCAAGAGTTTGAGGTTGCTGTGAGCTGTGACACCACAGCACTCTACCGAGGGTGAAATTGTGAGACTC